ATTGCAATTCAAAATGTCTATCAGAATTCACTTATGATACATGCATAAGACAATCTGTAAATGCTATTTTAAAGCCTTTGGAACGAAATGCATTGAGTTGCTATTGGAAATATTTGCATATGAACAATGTTACTTAGATTTGATGGTCTTCCTTTACTATGGACTTGATGGCTAAATTAATCATTAAAATAATCGTTAAAACCATGATCAAACTTCCATGCCTAATCTAAATCCTAAACTAATCATTAAAAGAATCATTAAGCATGCATTCCAAATGTATGAACGTGTGTCATTGTTTGAAATACTATTATGATTTATGATATATTAAATTTATTTGAGTTTGACATTTCTTTGTATACATGTATATCAACAAAATGTGCTTCATAGACTATGAAGTCTTATTTTTCTCGCCATATTATATGCATGGTGAATATGTAATGCAACTGAATCAAATTAAGAAGAATTCTTTTATCTCAAAGTCATTTAAACCAAATATAATGATATAAAAAAGCCCATTAGATCAATAAATCCTATAATTGAACTCAAAGCACCATAAAGGCAGTTCGTATGATTATGAATCTGTGCAGAAATCGTAAACACATGCATTAACATTAAAATTTATAAAAATAATAAAATAATACGATATAAAAGCCGATAAAATTGTGTAGTATAGAAATAATAAAATAAATAACCCAATAAACTAGTAAATTAAAAAGCAACATGGAGGAAGAATCAATTAAGCAGGAAACAATCCTTCTCAAATCATATGTCGTAGCAGTAACAAAATCGTATAAATTGTTAAACCATAAGCATATAAGAAAATTGTTGGAATCTATAACAATGCAGTACAATCAAATCAATATACACATGAGATTCAATCATTTTATGTTAGTATCCAATCAGTAAACCATATCACATGCTCAATATTACTTTGTGATGCCCCAGATATCAATAGTGAAAGGATTCGTCTGACATTCTGATCGAACTCCATTCCAGTTGCCTTGCTCGGATCTAAAAATTTTAACCACATATAATGAGCTTACAAAGCCCAGCAGGTCACCAAAGCCTACAACTGAAATCAAAGCACGGCGATGCTATCAATATGCAGGTCAATCAAATCAAGTCAATCAATGGTCAATGAGTCTATGCAATGCGGAAATCCATAGTCAATGAAATCAAGTCTGCACAGCGGAAATCAAATCAGTAGTCAATGCAGTACGGAAATCAATAGTCAATAATCAATACAGCGGTAAAAACATCGATAAATCAATACGCCTCAGTAATCAAATC